AGTGGATATTTTAATATTTTACTATCTTACTGGATTTTCTTTAGTAGGTATTTGTGCCCAGAAAGACCTTTCCAATCAGATTTTTAAAAACAGTAAGAATATTAAAAAAAACTGGTCTCAAATTGCAGTCTTAACAATTGTCCTCTGAATTAAAATGAGCTACCTCTTACTTTCTGTGCTTATAACCAAATTTCTTTTCCCCTTTTTTCCCCCCACAGGATTGTAATTGAAACACAAGATGGCAAGAAACAGCCACAGCAGCTATGTCCTTCAGCAGCTAAACAACCAAAGAGAGTGGGGTTTTCTCTGTGACTGCTGCATTGCTATTGATGATATTTATTTTCAAGCACACAAAGCAGTCCTAGCTGCCTGCAGCTCTTATTTTAGGATGTTTTTTATGAACCACCAACACACCACAGCCCAGCTGAATCTCAGCAACATGAAGATTAGTGCTGAATGCTTTGATCTCATATTGCAGTTTATGTATTTAGGAAAAATTATGACTGCCCCTGCTAACTTTGAACAATTTAAAGTGGCAATGAACTATCTACAGTTATATAATGTGCCCGAATGTTTAGAAGATATACAAGATACAGACTCCTCTAACTTAAAGTGTTCATCTTCTGCGTCTAGTACACAGAATAGTAAAATGATATTTGGTGTGAAAATGTATGAAGACACACTTACTAGAAATGGTGGGGAAGTAAACAGGTGGTGTGCGGAGCCACCAAGTTCAACTATAAGCACGACCCATAACAAGGAGCCTGATGAAGAAGCTTTGCAGCTAGGCAGCTTCCCTGAACAACTGTTTGATGTTTGCAAAAAAAGCACCATGTCCAAATTCTCTAACACAAAAGATCGTGTGTCACATTCGCGCCGCTTTGGAAGAAGCTTTACCTGTGACAGCTGTGGGTTTAGTTTTAGCTGTGAAAAGTTACTGGATGAGCACGTGTTAACATGCACTAATAGGCATTCATACCAAAATACCAGGTTTTATGGTATTGAAAAAATGGACTTTAGTGAAAAAGACTCTGCTTCTAAACTACTGGTTTCACAAACAGAGAACTATAAAGGGGATACCAGTCAAGTAGCCGATGACTCTTCATCTCCCATGTCAAACATAACAAGCAGAAAAAGTAGTATAGTTGCATCTGAGACATCAGGTGAAGAAGGAAGTAGAGCCAGTGAGAGGAAAAGGATTATCATCAAGATGGAACCAGAGGATAACCAAGAAGATGAACTGAAGGATTTTAACATTATTAAAGTGACAGATAAGGACTGTAATGAATCTACTGACAATGATGAATTAGATGATGAACAGGAAGAGCCACTTTACAGATACTATGTTGCAGAAGAGATGAATGAAAAGAGACATTCTCGAAAAACTCTGAAACCCCGGTTGTCTATCGATGAGAATGCAAGAAAATGTTTAAAAAACGCAAGGCATCTTAACAGGAAAGTTTCTCCAGTGCAGGAAGATGCAGAGAATTCTTCCTGCGAACTGTGTGGGCTAACAATTACAGAGGAAGATCTATCCTCACATTATTTATCTAAACACATAGAAAATATATGTGCCTGTGGCAAATGTGGCCAAATATTGGTCAAGGGTAGACAGTTACAGGATCATGCACAAACCTGTGGAGAACCCCAGGACCTGACAATGAATGGCATAAGAAATGCTGAGGAAAAAATGGACTCAGAAGAGAATCCTGAGGAACAGTCTGAAATAAGGGATATGATGTTTGTAGAGATGTTGGAGGATTTCAGGGACAGTCACTTCCAAATGAACAGTCTTCCAAATAAACAGTTATATAAGCATTCTGCCTGTCCTTTCCGATGTCCTAATTGTGGTCAGCGTTTTGAAACTGAAACGCTAGTGGTAGAACATATGTCAAACTGCCTCGATCAAGATCTGTTTAAGAACGCTATTATGGAAGAGAATGAAAGAGATCATAGACGCAAACATTTCTGCAATCTTTGTGGGAAAGGATTTTATCAGCGTTGTCACTTACGGGAACATTACACTGTTCACACCAAGGAAAAACAATTTGTTTGTCAGACATGTGGGAAGCAGTTTTTAAGAGAACGCCAGCTGCGGCTCCACAATGATATGCACAAAGGCATGGCCAGGTATGTCTGTTCCATTTGTGATCAAGGAAACTTCAGAAAACATGACCATGTACGGCATATGATATCTCATTTATCAGCTGGAGAGACTATATGCCAGGTCTGCTTTCAGATATTCCCAAATAACGAACAACTGGAGCAGCACATGGATGTTCATCTGTATACATGTGGAGTATGTGGAGCAAAATTTAATTTGAGAAAAGATATGCGATCTCACTATAATGCCAAGCATTTGAAAAGAACATAAGCATAAGCATACCGTAAAACAAGCACTAAGTTGACAGCAGAGGGAACACCAAAGCAAAGCATACAATATAGCATACAAAAGTTGAACGAATTGTTGAAAGCAAGTCTTTTGTTTCAAGACCCTTTTAATCATAGGTGTCTTTGTTTTAGGGTCATTAAGTATATATCTTTTAAAAGCATCAAGTGTTTAATTATTCCATTTTCACTGTTGCCTATTAGCAATTTCTGTTTTTAATTTTATTGTTTTACTAAGTAGATATGATACAAGTCATTATTTTTAAACTGTCAATTACAAGCACAACTGTTACCCCTTAACTGACTTCTATTAAACAGTTCTTAGTTCCATGTCCATCAGATGAGTGCTTCAGTATTTGCAAGTGTTGTTTCTTCATGTGAAATTTTAGATCATGTAGCAACTAATATGCAGGAGCATAATCATTCCTAATATCAAAATCAATTTAAAAAATGAAAATTGATGCCAAGGAATAATTCTTTCTGACTCTACAGTGAGAACAGCGCTAGCTGTTCTAGAATTCAGATTCTCAGCATTTTTATTGAGATTGACATCCACAGGTTGGGTGAGCTAAGTAAAACCATGCTGCAGTGGTATGGACAAAGGAAGAAATAGAGAATTAAGATTATATAGCATCAAAGAATATCAGAACAGCCATTTCCATGCTCAATATTCTAGCAGAATTGAAATGGGCACTTCTGATGCAGTAATGCTTCCCTTCAATTGCCTATATGTATATGCTTGAAGTTTTTATAACCTGCTCATCACAGTGGTATCTGGCTGTTGGGTATGAAGGGATTGCTCAGCTTTCTTAATAAATTCAGCAAAGATGTTTTATGCCCTTTCAGAATCTTCTCACATACAGACCTCTGTGAATCTAGTGAATTCCTAACATATAGAGCTTATCTGTTTTATTTTAATGCAGTAAAAAAACCACTGTCTATCAGCTGAGGCAACTTGGCCTTTCAAAATACAATGATAGGTCAGGGCTGGAATCTTAGACACCAGCTGTGTAAACAAATATTAACTGCATGATTGTTAATGATGAAATCTGTGATAAGCAGTGATGAGCAAAGAGTGTTTTAAAAAAGCTAACACCTCCTTTTTATATATAGAGTTTTTCACAAGCAGATTTCACAAGGAAGTCTACCATTTCACCATTTTTACAGATGGAAAGCGAGAGTTTTTTACAAGCAGATTTCACAAGGAAGTCAGTACCATTTCACCATTTTTACAGATGGAAAGCTCAGGCACAGAGCAAGGAAATGACTTGCCAAAAGTTGCCTGGAAGGCCAGTGGCAGAGCTGGGAATAGAGTCTAGGTCTCCTGAGTCCCAGTCTTGCGCTCTAGCTAGAGCTAATATAACTTCCAGGGCTAAGTTTTGAAACCTCGCCATTTTTCAGACTGTGATTAATTTGTAGCTCACTAAACAGAATGTCAGAATATATAAATAACTGAATAAAGTTTACCTAAAAATTGCATACAGCTACCTTATCAAATGAGTATTTTCAGATACTATATCAAATTTCTGTTTTCATATTCAATTATAAGCGGGTTTCAGGTTTGTAAACAAACTTACAATGTGAACGTATTTCAAGCTGGAGTCTGATGCACTGAAAGAAAAGGAAAATTTGTGTCCTGGCCCTCCTATCAGTCCTGAGTGCATGGATCTAATTATAGCATTGGGGCTTCAGCATTTTACATACAAAAAGTACAGTAACAATCGTGCATTTCTTTGACACCCAAAATCCCACAGAAGTCAATGGCAGTGACACTTATCAGCACCCCTAACATTAATGCATGCTAGTGTTTCCATTATTCCAAAGGTTCGGGGTTTTCCCCCAGAGATTTAAATTGCTTCCATCCCAAGATGCATTGAGATGGAACTTAGCAACCCAGAGAACAACCAGGTTGGCTGGCTTAAATGCTGTTTTTATGTCAGCAATTAGTTGTTGAGGGCAATGAGAGAACCAACCATCTTGTACACTGCAAAAGAAAATGTCCATAGTAGTTAGTAGAATAGTGTTTAAAAGTAATTACTGATCTATGAGACATTGTAATGGCAATATTTTTATATAAAGTGTTTACATTTATATACATGTAGATTATCAGACATTTGAGTTACCTCTTGATATATAAACTTGAACTGATCTGAGAGAGCAGCCCAGGGAAGTGAGAGAGAACTTGTGTGTGCAGCAGAGTTGAAAGAAAAGTATTGTGGCATGGGGTGCACGGAGAGATTTGGAATGCTGTGGGAGATGCCAGGCAAAAATTGGAACAGCACAGGAGCAGAGACCAAATTAGAATAGCATGGTGGGAAGTGGAGGGCAAACAGTCCCAAAGGAGGGGGAGTGGATAAAATGCCCTATAGATGCCTGAAGGAACAGAGAGTGAGTGTGACTCAACTTGGCTGGGAAAGCCATCAGACGGGATTATAACTCACTATGGCACAAACTCTAACTGCAGTTTGTGTACTAAGTATAAACCAGACGTTTGTGCTGGGTGGGCTGTTGTGTGACAGCAAAGCTGATTGCATTGGGCCAGAGGACTGCAAATGGACTGGAAAATTTAGAGGGTGAAATACAGTAGCTAACGTCATCCCAGAATACACTGAGGAGCTGAAAGTGTGATTCGTAGACCCCTGGGTCAGGAACCACTTTTGATATGTGTTAGCCTGGGCCTATTACAAGCATGTTTTACACAGTCAGCAAGCAGTTTGATAGTTATGTGGATGGGCCACAATGACAGAGGAAGTTTTATTTTGTGAATTTAATTGCCCTGTTGGACATACTATGTTTTTTCAGCAATACCCCAGAATACCTTACTTTTCCCATTATACCTGTTTTGCTGTGACTTTTTCCTTCTCAGTGAGGGCATTCTTAATTTCTCTCTAAAGCCCACCAATACCTCTCTTTCAATCAGAGCAGTTTTCTGGAGGATGATTTGATGCACTCCTACCAGCTTGGGCAACAGAAGACCAGAATTCCTCAGAGTTTACATGTATGTGAACTGGAAATAATGCTCACTTTGTGATCCAGGAGAGTGAACTGGAGCATCATGGAGAAGTTCAGAAAGGATTAGGCAGAGACCCAGAATGGTTGAAAAGGCCCAAGAGGGAATAAAAATAATCAAGAGTTCCTGTGGACAAATCAAAGGCAGTAGGGTCAAATCAAGTCTGGGCTGTGGTAGAGAAACACCGTTATAGTGATAAATTAAAACAGACATAAGAACAACCTGAGAAAGTTGAAAGAAAAGCCTGGTGTGGCTGATATAATTAGGAATTAAAAGAGAAGAGAGAGATTCAAATTGTGCCACTAAGACAAGAGTGGGTGAAAGGGCGCTAAACAAGAGTTTGCAGACCATTTAATAATGCTGTCTAAGGGCACTGGGGTGTTTTTCAGAGAACATAATGATATGGATGCAAGAAATACAAAATCACCACGTTCCTGCTCCCCCACATTGGTAGTGTTTATAAAAGCACCCCATTAAGGAGACAGATGCTGTAAAAGTAAATACAGTACTAAAGAACGTTGGAACACTTTCAGTAAAACAAAAACAAATCTCTGGAAAACTCGTTACTTAAAAATGAAAAGAGAACAGAAATCCTTGATTTGGAGTTGCTTATTGCACTTTCAGTTTTATTCTTGCCATAGTTCCTCTGTATCTACTTCCTCTACTAACTGGAATTCTGTGAATGTTTAGATTGTATATATGTAATTCTGTAAATTGGTTGGCATCCTTGCCGATAAAAGGCGCTACATAAATGTAGAACCGTATTTTTAAAAACACTAATAGTTAATCCTTTTTCCAAAGAGAAAGGAGCACTGTCTTGATGCTCTTCCTCTCCTACCCTTGTCTCTTCTGGTGCCTTGTTATTCCTATGTCCAGTGATTTCTCACTGTTCTGCTGTTGCTTTCCGCATGCTGGCAGTGGTGTGGGCTGCAGCTTTGAAAAACATTTTACTGGCAACCACATCTCTGCTCTCAGTTCTTATTTAGAGCTAAACAGGGAATTTGTAATGATCTGGAATGAGCTTTTAAATATACCAAATGCTAATGTTAAGCCAGCTTCAGTTTTTGTCCTGCATAGGCAGTTTCACATTTTTAAGAACTCATTTTTAAAGGTTTCCTTGCAACTAAGCCATTAAAAAACAGATAAAAATGGATCTGACATCATATCCACGATTAACAACTGTCTCCACATAGAGATCGTATCTCTTACACATACTCACTCTCTTGATATGGGGAAAAGCTATCAGATATATAGAGGTCAGAGAGATCTGTACACAATCTCTTTCTCTGTTTAACTTACCCTTCAGCTTTCGTCTGGAGCCTTTTTTGCTCTCTTGGTATATGCTGGATAGCATCTCCCCAAACATAGTGGGAAGGGCAGGTTTTCCTCCCCTACAACTCTGATAGTATACCTGTTGAGGCTCAGAGAGGATAAATATCATTATGGAAGTTAAGAAGATACGTGCAATAACTGCTTCATATCTGTTAGTTATATGACAGATGGCTCTTAGGTGCTCGCCAATTTAACGGGATAAGAATCCAAACTTTTCGATCTTAATTCTAAATCCAGGGCTGGCCCACAACATTTTGGCACCTGATATCTTAATTCTAAATCCAGGGTTGGCCCACAACATTTTGGCACCTGAGGCGGGGAGCTCAAATGACGCCCCCATCTGCAGATATGCAGCAGACCCAATTTTCTACACTCTGGGTCCTAGTGGCACCCCTCCCCC